ACTAATTAAACTAATATGTTAGTAAACCTATTCCACATAAACATAATAAACAATTGTTATCATCAATTAATTCACGCTTTCCCAAACATAATTAGTGACACTGTAATACATGCAAATTAACATGAATTGTTGTAGAAATGAACTGTCGACGAAATGAACTGTCAACGAAATAATTTTCGACGAAATGAACTTTTGACGAAATGATTGTCGACGAAATGAATCAGACCCACATTAAAGTTCGATATATAGAATGCCATTTTATATGTAAATTTGTCATATTAATATGATTTTTCAAAAGCAGTTCGTTATACAGAATAGAGAATTTAATTATAAAGTTCATTATACAGAGCAAAATTAATTAACAAAAAATCGGGACCAACACTTTAGTTCATTATAGAGAGCAGCTCGGTTTTTGGAGGTTTGTTATAGAGAGCTTTGACTGTACCATGTTTAGATAATGTCTCTGTGACAATAAAGAGCGATTTTATTTTGTAAATATGTTAAGAGAAACATATATTAATGGTGAAAAATGCGGTTTTTTTTTGTGCAAAAATAGAACAGAGCAACTGTTTTTGGAAAAAAATAATACAATTCTTAATATAAATACTAAGAATATTTTTTTCTTCTAAATAATAAATAATGTGTGATACAACATAATAATAATAAAATATAAAATATATATTTAATTATATTATTTTCTCTCTCGAGAATCTTCTTTAAGCACGCCAAACTCTTTTCACAATTTCAGTCATTCCCACACCAAACTGTATTAATCCGGTAACAACCTATAAGCACCAACAATGTAGCGCCTCTTAATCCCCAAGTAAAAAATTTGTTAAGTTTTGGTGATATATAAGCCGGCAAATAATCTGTAATAATTGTATCAAATCCAATGTGACAATGAATTTGCAGGATTATTCCCAGGCAAAGATCTGTAATTGGATGTGCTCCATTTATAACTGAGGTGATTGTTAATGGAACTAATGATATCGATTAAGGTCTTTTGAAATCCCAGTGATATGACCCATCTTTTGTTGGTAAAGTTGCTGCATCATTAACAGATCCTTTAATATAACCTATATACATATACATTAATTGACGATAATAATAATGGTAATATTATGTTTAAAATAGACTTATTGGTCCCATCTTTGGCAGATTTGGAATTCTGAAATAAATGGGTACGTCCTAATAATAGAAATTATTATCGATGTAATTTGGTTTTTAATCTTTTAATCTATTACAATAATCAATTTAATTACATAATTTATTACCTGTGTGAAAGGCAACAACTCTAACAGGGAATGAAAAGAATATTTAGAACAAAAGAATTTAGTAGCTTTATTAAATTTTATATTCCCACATAAAATGGCTACGCCAAAAACCAGTTTTCATGAGACAAAAAATTATATATTCAATCCAGCGTTGGAAATTCAACGATCTTGTGATCTGCATAAAAAATTCGTAATAATAAAGTTTACAAATTATGGAAATACAGTCAAAGCTCTCTATAACAAACCTCCGAGAAGCGAACTGCTCTATATAAAGAACTAAGATTTTGGTCCCGATTTTTTATTAATTAAATTTGCTCTCTATAACAAACTTTATAATTAAATTCTCTATTCTGTATAATGAACTGTCTTTGAGGGAACCAAATGCAAATTTATATAATAAATGAAGCTCTCTATAACGAACTCCCATGTAACATAAACAAACATAGTGGAAGTTTTTGTTACACTAAATGTTATACAGAACCCATTGCTCTTGAAACTTCACCAGTATATAGTTGTTACTTCTCTAAATTGGAGATTAAGTTCAGATCCAATTCAAATCTAGTTTATCACTTACTTTTTATTGCCAGAATTTTTGCTGTGTATTGTAAAGTTACATTGTAACATTTCAAATTTCCACTATGCTACATAAACATTTATTATAAAAAAAAAAAATTTACTATATAGCCAATAAATTATTCAAAACACGATCACGTGCCCATGAAATGAGATGATCACAATTCTTTATAGTGAACGCTCTCTATAACGAACCAAAATTCTCGGTCCATGGGGTTCGTTATAGAGAGCTTTGACTGTGAATACGGTAATGCAAATTTGAAATACAATATCGCATTATTAGTTGAATGGAAACAGATCATAAAAAATGTTGGTGAATTATGAAAAATTCCACGTGTGATGATTAGAGCATAAAAGGATATGGAGTATTAAATGAAATGTTATTAACACGAACACAAGCTTCTAGATAATAATGAGTTTCCACTTGCTTACAAGAGCTGTAAGACTAACAAGCATTGCGAGGACTACCACAAGTTTAATAGTGTCGTGTAAAAACTTTTCGCAAATTCGCTACTTTCTGCAACTCGAATTATCAAGGATAGAAGACAGACAGGTACCTTTTTTTGCTGAATTATCTTCAAGATTTTCGTCTCTCGAAGAGAAAGCATCGAGGATTAAATTTCATGACAAAGTAATCAATGCGCGATGTATTAGAAGCAGGTAATAAAATTCGTGTTTACAATATTTTATAAATCATCATGACTTATGTAAAAACATAAAGCTAAACATTTTTTTTTTAAAAAGTAATGAACATGATGTTATTCCAGAACTTCAAGATTACACGTTTAAGACAATTGGAGAATCGCAGTGTTTGAAATTTCGTTATGTAACTAGTACAAATTTAGAAACTATCTCCAAAAATTATTAGTGTGTAATGTTACATTGCGGGGCACTGGGATTTTCAACACTGGAGTTGTCCTTCAAATATATTAATTATAAACCTAAATTTGCAGGTTTTGATCTATTTTAGAATTGGTGCATGTAACACGAATTTTTACTATGACGCATGGATAAAAAAATTACGCGAGCCGTCCTCAAAACCAATTTTTGTGAGACGTTTATTATTGAAAATCCTTTTTGTAAAAGTCAAAAATGGTTTTCTCATTACTTATAAAATACATAAAACTTATAACAAAATAGTAAATAGCTGTAACGAATGCAATAATAATTGTTATACATAACACAAATAATGTAAATAATAAAATATATTATTAAACCTCAAAATATATATATATATATATTGTTTTTAATTCTCTACCAATAAGTTCTTAGGTTTGTAAATTTGGAAACATAAAAATAACCTAGTTTTAAAAAAAAAAATTTCCAAATGTTACTATCAACTATATAGATGAGTTGAAAAAAAGTCAATTACAAGATAATAATATATCTCCCACGTATACCATTTGTTCTATCTATCCTTCAAATGAGGGAGCTTGCTGGGTATTTTATAAAAATCAATCAATTATTGAGGATAAATAAGGAAAA